GAGATGAAATTGGACAATTTTGGTTGAGAATGCGACCCATTGACGTTTTATAGTTTGCCTCAATTTTATAGGCTAAAAACTAAAGTACTGTATTATATGATGTGCTTTATGTTGTTATCAGATGTTTTAACGACATAAAACAGGAAATGCTGATTAAAGATTATTTTCTAAAGGTTAACTGATATGCCTGAATTAAGAGCTTCAGTAAGCTTAAAGGATTTCTCTGGCATCTGGAAATGTGAGTAGAGTATTGATTTCAATGGTGTTCTTGTAATTGATGACTTAATAGAATGGATGCAACTTTGGATTTTGCCAACACTATTGACAAGAAGGCAATTCTGTGGGTGGTTTTATGGTAATTAAACTTCTGCATCAGAAGAAGCAGTTTGTAAAAGTCTTGAAACATTGCTCATTTCTTTAGATTCTGGGTAGAAAAGGGTAAAACATTGCAGGAATGAATTGAAAGATGTGCAAACATATAGGGAACTATATAAGGCAACAGCCGAGATTGTACAATTCTAACAAGCCTGGAAGTCAATAACTTAGTATGTCCACCTTTATTCTTCTAACACAGCCTGAACTCTCTTCGGCAAGTTTTCCTGTAATTTCTTTAGTAGTCTTCGGGAGTAATTCTGCAGGTTACTTGAAGGACGTTCAAAGATCTTCTTTGTTGGCTTCCTTTTGTTCTCTACTCTTTCAAAGTGATGCGACACTGTTTCAGTAATGTTGAGATCTGGGGAGGTCAGTTATTGACTGATAGGGTTTTGTTGTGTGCTTTTCTATTCTGGTATGCTTTGACTGCATTGGCAGTGTGTTTGGGCTGATGGTTATGATGAAAAATGAAGATCTAGATTTCCACAATTTTTTAGCCAGATCCCCAGCATCACTGGCATGTTTTACAGATGGCTTTAGAGAATCCGTGTTAAGACCTTTGTCCTCCGTACCTAATGATCTAACCATTAGGTCATTAGGACTTTTTCTTAAGGACATGACTTTCAAATTAAAAAAAAAAAAAAATTAGGTTCAAGGACTTCCACTTCTTCTTTTATTCTCCATTTTTTACAGTTTCCTTTAATCTCTTAAGGGCACTCAGCGCACCATACAGATGTATGTGATGATATATGACATAAGTCTTCGGCAAATATAAGGTCTGTTTTTGTGTAGACACAACACTGGATCATCCCTTGGGTTAAAGGCCTCTTTTATCCTTGAATGTTCCACAGGCCAGCGTTCAGTAGCTTAGCAAGCAAAACATTGCTCTGAAAATGGAAAGTAGTCATGTATAACCATTGGACTGAAAATGAATGGAAAAGCAGCCAAAGAAAAACTTTGAAAGATCTTCGGAAACCCTGAAGAACTATTCCGCGATATTACTTTTAAAAATGACAAGAATACCAGGCTCCATAGAAGCAAAATAGAAATAAACGAGCAGAGGTTCAAGACTTTTGCACAGTTCTGTTTTCCACATAGAGATGCCATGCATAATTTTTAATAGCTGTGCTTTTCTTCATCAATCACTGGCAGGTATTTGTATGTCATCACGCATATTAGATACCACTCTCCTGCTAGCCAAAACGGCTTATTCGGGTTATATCAGTGCCAGCATCAATAACGCCGTGGTACACAGGCATGTAACCTTTGAAACACAGTTTAAAACTTGCTTACCAGTGGATCAGGTATTTTTATCTGTCAAGGTTTTGAGATGTCTAAGGTTTCTCTCTTCACCCTTTCTGTTAGAGCTCATCCCAGTGATGAACAGCTGCACATTTTTCCAGACAAAAAAAGGCCTTTGTTACTCAGTTTAATCAATAAAGCATATGAAAACAGAGAGACTGCTCAGAGTGGGGTCTGTGGATTAGTCTCAGTAATGGGGGCACTGTTTCTGGAGAGAGATGTTGCTTTTGAACTTTCAACAGTATTGTTTTGTCAAGTAACACATCAGCTAAATACCAATAGAGATTAGCGAGAAGATGTTTTCTATTCTTTGTGAGGTTTATTTAGATGTGATGATGCTTTCACAGACAGTCAGTTACACATGTCTGGTTTCTCAAGTGAACCTTAATGTAAAAGCCACTGTGCTCCATTCCTCATACTTCTAATGGCCAACTTTTGCTTTTCATCCTCAGCTTTCATCTTTGCAGTAGAATAGCCGTTTTTCATTTCTCTCACTACTACTTTTGCCAGGCTACCCACAGGCTGCGGCACCAATAAAAATTATACCCCTACCATAAATTTCCCCTCCTTATCTACTGCACTGCTTTCTGCGCTGTGTGCTCTGACAGGTATATTGGAGGTGTTGACATCAATATTGTTATTTAAGACTGTACCAGACTCGGGAAATGGGATGGATGCAGTGATACAAGATTTACGTTTACATGTTTACATTTGCAATTGGGATTACTTGTAATAATAGGCTTGGAAGTGCAGTGCAGTGCATTGCAGTGAGGAAGACCACAGCCACACTCGCTTTTCGCAAGACGAGTCAATCAATAAACAACTGATGGGTTACATTGTCAACTGAATTGTGGTCTTTGAACGACTCCCCTATTTTCTGTCTTTCTCTAACCCTCATGCTGTCTAGGTCTCTTTCCCCCTCAATCTTTCATAACTCTTCACCCCTCTCACACTGAGTTGATAGGAGAAAATAAGAGAGTAGAGCTCATTTCGGCACGCTTCCCTGGGGACGCGAAGCCAAAAGTGCCATTAACAGTATATTTACACACCTCCCTCGATTTTGCTACTAGGTGAAGTCTCCCAAATGTCACCGAGTGGGTGGGATTCCAGGGGCATAAAAACATGCACACATACACAGTGCTAATAGACACACTAGCAACAAGTCCCCATGAGTGTGATTAATTGGGTCTGGGCTGCCAGCACTATCTGATGATACAGCATTATTCCCAAGCTTTGTGTTCTAGGGTCCAGCCAATGATGTACTCTAGAATCCTTCCCACTGTCACGCTCTATGCTCTGGGCAAGACTGTAGTCGAGGGACAAGTGTCTGTGTGTGTTTGTGCTTTTCAGAGTGTTCCCTTTTTGTAATAGCTTCTCATCCCCAGTCTCTTTAGACTTTATAGTCTCAAGTTTTTAGTGGTTTTCTTCTCTAACTGTCTCAATTTTTGTTAATAGCAAAGTCGAAGAAGTCATTTTCAATGCTGAGGGACTGGAATTGCTATTCCAATATATAGTTTTTTGGAGGAAGTAACACTTTTGATGGGAATAAAACCACTCCAGTTGAAACATCAGTAGCAAAAGAGAAGCTACAAAAAAGGGTTAACTTTCATATTCACCAAAGGATAAAAGTCATCAAGCCAATAGGAAAAAAACAAAACAAAAAAGCCTTCTATGTCTTTCTTTCAAGAAATATGTTGTTTTGCAAATTGTAGTTTCTTTAAGATCACTGCTAGATTTTAAGGCACATAGAAGGCTTTGATGTCTGCCATGTTCTTGGGTTGATGGAAAGCTCTGTGCCCACCTGCTGCCTGCTGCACTCTCCGCCTCTTGAACTCACTGGGGAGAGCAGCAGGCAGACTTTTGTAGCTTCTCTTTAAGAAGTAAACAGTGATTTTTCTACTGTGCTTTTGGTTTAAGATTTGCACTAACAAGACCCTCAGAGGATGCTGTCATGCGATATATTTCTGTAAATGTAATGTACATCGCAGATTGTTGTTATCTGGAAGGTCCTGGCTGCACATGGGAAAGATGGTGCTGACTCTTGGCTTCAAACTCGCTCCAATACAGCTGGTGACATCACACCTCAATATAGTTACATTTCAGTTTGGGGCATCCAATCAGAGGAGTCTAATAATTTGATTGAGTTTGTGATGAATTTGTTTTGATGTGAAACTGCCAAGCAGTTCGAATCCACCACCACTATGTTTTTCTCTGCTTGCTGCTTTTTTCACGATAAAATCTGAAACTCATCAGGTTATATGTAGTTTTGTTCTATTTTGTAACTGTATCCTTCTTTTCTTCCTCCTAGACTTTTGTCTTTTGCACCCCTATTTTCTTTCTCCTGATGTCACACAGATCAGGAGAAACAAAAGATTTTTTTGCATGAGCATCACAGCCACTGTAGACATGCACACATAGTGATTAATGCAATAGTTATAAGTTATATGACTTAATATAAGATGCAATTCACCTATAGCCTATGGGCAGTCCTATTGCTTGTGTCAGTGACATTTACATAGGGGGTAAGTGAAGCTAATGTAGTGTGAAAAAAGTGACCTTTGAAATACAGAAATACTGTATTTACAGGACAAAGATGACTATGCTTGAATAGATAAATAGAAGTTCACTTAGCCTTGGATGGATTACATGGGGCTTACACTGCTCGCTGGCTTTAGCTTAATGTAGGAAGCACAATGTGAAAACACAGTGTCTTTGTGTATGTGAACAGATGGTGCCATTAAAGAGTGCTCACTTATTTTTGTCTATGAAAAGCTTCTCCTCTCCTTACCTCCCCACTTCCCACCTGCCACTTTAGACACATCTGATAAGTCAGATGTGCTCGGCAACACATTGAAAGTAGTGTCCCGAACTATGTCACGCGTGTGCTAACTTTTTCAATCGCATTTTTCTAAGTTTGCCAACTAGGAGATTAAAGTTGCATTGTGCAAGACTGAAGGAAGATAATTGCCTTGTTAGAGGGTTGCAAATGCTACGTGTTGTGTTTGAAGTTGAAATTGAGAATTGTTTTCTTACACTTGGAAGTACTTGTACTTGTGTCCTCCTTGTTTATAAGCTTGACAGGTGCGTTTTGGATATGTTGATTACATGGGGTTTCTCACTCCATGCCGTAACACGGCTACTGGTCAAAACAGATAGGGATCTGGGTGCCGAGCCCCAGCAATTCTCCCAACAAATTGCCCATTTTGTTTGCCTCGTCCGTTTAGATAGCATCAAACCCACTGAAATAGAGGATTGTCTATCTGCAACCCTTTTGTATATACTCAGTATTTTTTGGACAGTAAATGGCTTTTTCACAGGCTGTGGCTTTTTCACATGCCTTGGACTTTTCTAGATAAACTTATAGTCTGCTGCTGGATAAAGCCAATCGTTAAATTTTGCGTTTAGTATTTTCCTTAAGTAATAAACAATCTTAAATTTAATGCCATTCTGTAATTTGATGCCCTGCTTAGAATAATATTCATGTCTTGAGCATTTTAGTGTTAAATTACTCAATTAAAAACTGAGAGAGCATTGCTTAGCACTGGGTTTGTGAATGAAGGTGACATACACAATGGCAACGTGTGATTTAAAGCATGTACGTAATGCAGCAGCTGCACTATATCTAAGGAAAATTGTCACAAAAGGGCATTGCACTGTAATAGCACTACAGGGCACATCCAAGTGAAAGCCACATCACCACAGCTACAGTGATGCTCTTTTGGTGCCTCAGTCAAGGCTCTGCTGAGCAGCTGTCACACTTATAAGATTTTTACTGTAATAAAGAAATAATGTGTCACACCAACATTGTATTTTTGTTGTTGATACTGAATCATGAACGTGTTATGTTTCTCTGGTTTTGTAATATATTCTTCTCTGTTTTTATCTGTAGATTTATAGCATTCCTTTGTGGCTAACATAAGACCCGCATCAGTGTACGTTAAGTAGACAACTCTTGCTAAACCAATCAATAGATGCTTTTGTTGTTTGTTTTTCTGTGTTGCGTGTTTTGTAATACATCTGTAGTTCCATAATTCAGCCATGGTTGGCCACTGGGTCATTTTCAGTGCTAAATCGATCTTTGGCCTTCTAGCATAAAATTAGTTCTGCTCAGTTCTGTACAGTCAGTGTTACCAATTTACATTCTGGGGAAGAGCCTTGGCGTGGGACCGGTACTGTGCATCTGCGGCAGGGAGAAATAATCGTGCATCTGTACACGATTCGAGTGAGATGGCTTACCCTTCTCTGTGGGCCTCTCCTTTTTCCAGTTCCTGGATGACCCCCAGCAGCACCTTGATGGTCTCTTGGCTGGAGCTGATGAGATTTTCCATGGCCTGGAGCTGTGCTTTAACGTCCCCGTCCTGATTCATAGGCACTATTTGCTTACAGGCTTCCTGCGTTTGGTCGGTTGGTGTTCCATCAGCCTCACCGCCTATGCAGGGTGACAGAGGTTCCTCCATGCCCCGTATAGGCCGGGCAGATAACTGCCCCGTGTGGCACTGTGCCTGTGTTTTACAGCCTCCACGGGATCGTGGTAACGTCTCACTCGACAGCCCGTTGAGCTGCAGGCCTTTCTTTCGCTTGCTCCGTACAGATGGACTGTCCAGGCACTCCACCTGGGTGAGGGAGTTCCAGGCGATGGGGCCCGTAACCTTGGAGGCCCTGTCCGGCAGGGTTCGGGATGAGCCCTCCTCCAGATTGAGCAGCTGCCTCTTGGCCGAGCGGTCTGTGTCGGCCTCCCTGTGTTGTAATCCTGTTCTGGCTCTGGAAGGTATGCTGCAGAGCTGGTACTCTGCCTGTGCTCCAGCTCCGCTTCCTCTCGGTGTGTCTGCAAGGCAGTCTGTGTCTGCAGTGCAAGTGAGCAGCAGAGCATCAGAGCACAGGCCATCAGGTGCAGTGTGCTGCTCCACTGTGGCAATGCACTCATTAGTATGGAGCAGAGCCCTGGTCCTCAGGACTCCGCTCCCCCCACAGGCCCCCTCCTCCTCCTCATCTAAACCCTGCTCAGGTGCCTTAGACTGCTTCACCTCCATGATAAAACCGTTATTCTGACCTTTATAAGTTTCCACAGCCGCCACATGCTTAAAGGTATGTCCTTTTTTGCGTTCGAAGGGAAACGTCTGATACCGTTTCTTCAGGTCCGGTGACGTCTGAACACCTGTGCTCCTCGTGACGTTAGGAATCGATCTGCGTGCAGGGACAGTCATGTATTTGCGGTATGCCACTTTGTATGACATTGGTTTGCCACTTTTCCCCGCTGCCTGCAACTCCGCCTCTCTTTGCTCGTTCTGCGCCTCGCAGATGTCCTTGAAACGCACTTGCAAGGCCTTGTTTCTCTTCCTCACCTGTCGATTGGCTTCCAGGGAATACTTTACCCCCAGCGCCAGCGAAGCGGAGGGCACGGGCGCTGCCTCCGAGTCAGACTCTGAGTTGGTGAGCATGCATTTGCCACCCTCCTTGCTCACCATGTTTCCTGAGAGGCATAGAGGAGAAACACTGTTAATCATCAGTAATGAGGGGCTTAGACAAAGACCCTTGCCTGACTATTACATCCCACTCGATAAAACACACATTCTCTCTTAGCTTAGGGAGAAGGGAGGAAACAGTGTAATTAAATAGAGCTAAAGGTATATGATTAAAAAAAAAGCTTTTATCAGACACTTCACATTAAAATGAAACAAATAGACATTTTCAGTGAATATCTTTGAAAAGTTGAGGTTGATATTTGATATGCTTTCTTTTCTTTTAGAGCTAAAGGTGCCGCTTAAACTATGGAAGTCCGTTTTTCATATGCATGTACCGCAGATTTCGTTCCCTTTTTATTTATTTTTTTATTGCCCGATTTCATGGCTCTTTTATGCTTGGCAGTTATTTACCGTTTATTTACTGAATCACAACTCAGTTTAGGATGTAAGGGTTCCCCAAAAACTATCCTATCAAATTTCCATGATACATTTAATTGCCTCTGTGAAACTAATAACTGCAGTTTTAAAATAATTTTCCTTCGTTTATCATTGTCAGTTAAAGTGTCTTTCATAACGACTTCCTCCTTTTCCTACCCCACTTTCTACATTTATGAGTTATTTGCGTTCGCCTTTTGGGTTGGTTATCAATCACCGAGCTTACAATATATAAGGATGATGTCTGATTTTCCTTTCCGTGGTTTATTAGCTTCAGCATGGTTCTTCACTGCCTCACCTTTCCTGCTCATAGTTAATAATTAATTCCCTGAATATGAAAAGTAGTCTCTTTTCTGACTTAACTGAGAAAATGTTAAGAAAAACATGAGGTTGACATCTGCAAACAGACAACTCTTTGTCAGAACGCTGTACAACAAGCCTCTGAGGAGAAACAAGCGGAGATAACGAATTATCTTTCCTTAGTACCACAGGTATGGTAGTGGGATCGTGACTTTGCAGTGTGCCTCTGAGGCTCTGACAGAAATATATTTCACCTTCTGCCTCCCCATTTACAATAAGGAAACGCTCCACGCACTCATATAGATGCTGAATCAGATAGGCCAATTATCCTTCTCAGCTTATCTGCCATGACTGTTCTCTGTCACCAGCAAACGACTTCCTATTTCAAACCTGTCTGTTTACTTAGCTGGGAGCTACAGAACCGTTTTCTTTTTTCCCCCCCATCACTGTCTTCTTCGCCATCATCTATCACTCCGTAATATTAAATTAGCACGCTGGGTCTCTGGCTCCATTAGGCGACACCTATTTTTTACTGTCTCACCTAACATCTAGCTTAAGAGTCTTGTCTACAGACATTAGTCAGTGGCATATGTAAAAGTGTTATAATCATTCAGTCATTTTATGCAAAAAGTGCCTCATCCTCAGTTGCTTTTTCCTGCAATGAGAATGAGAATTTAGTTTAGCTGTGAATTATATGTTACCCGTTACATCCTTTGTTTACCGGATATGTCACGCCATATGGTATAATTGTCATTATCATAGGCTTTTCTCATAAAAGAAGCTGATTTTGATCGAAACAGACAGATTGACACTCTTCCCTTGAAAACTGGTTAACCCTTCTCCAGTTGTGTAATTGGGGAAGTGAGAGCAGCATGCACACATAGACAGGGTTGAGATGAGATGCTTTCTCCTGTGCAAACAGATGTCTGTTTGATTCTCAGCAGATGGGTAATTACTGATGTGACCAAGTGACCAGGGAATACAATCTAATGCAGTTTTTTGTTGAAAATGTATAAAAGCCCAACACGGGGCGTGTTGGTAAACTACAAAAATCCTCCGCTGTTAAGATACACTTTCCACTTTAACAGGGGTATATAGTGAGTAGCTTTTATTTACTGTGCATCCTTCAAGAGCGGATGTTATAAAATACTCCACAGCAAAAGACTAAAAAGCAAGTAAGAGACAGCAAAAGATAATAAATGCAGACAACTGGATAAAAATGTAAGGCGGGGGGGATGCAGGATGTGAGAGAGCGATAGTTCTCCCTGCCCTTCACGCAAAGGCAGAGCGGGATTGCCTCATAATTCTCCGTCGTCAAGAGCAGAATGTCAAAGGTCATCGATACTACAATTTTAGCCCCAGTGTCCCTTTTAAGAAAGGATTTCTGTAACCCTTCACATAGAAGGCTTTAAATATACATTTTGGTGCCGCTGCATATAACCTGAACCATAAAAACATTAGATTTAAACTGTAGCCAAAACTAATGATTGAGAGATTAAGGATATGCAGCCAACGTGATGGGCTGAGGAAATTTAGAAACTATAACCTTAAACGTTTGTACGCTTCTGGCTTTATTAAAAAAAGAAGAAAAAATGCGATAATTAAAGATGATTGCAGAAGAAAACCACTGCAATTAGTTCTTAGTAGCTCTGTTATACATGCAGGAACCTGGGCATATTTGTTTTATTAATTAAAAATGAATTCTCACTTGAACCCAGTGAAGGGAAGGAAAATTAGGGATGATGTGCGAGTGTCAGGTTTTTTGTTTTGATTTTGTTTTCCATTCTGGACCAACCGATGTACGCGTGAAATGAGCTGCAATAATCAAGACAGGACACAATTAAAGTTTGTACTAAAAGTTCCAGATTTTTGGGTGCCAGTAAATGTCTGATTTTTCATAGATGGGATCGGCTTTGAGATGTAAGATTCAAATTCAATCAGAGTCAGAATACCAATGAAAAGGTTTTTAGCGAATGATTTGATATGATACTGACACCTCTTGCCCTGCGGATACATTTTGTATTGATTTGCAATGATTCTTTCCTCTGCTGTTGAAATGTCCACCAGTACCATAAATGACCCAAGGACAGGTTTTTCTTTATTTTTGTTCCTCAGCTGCAGGCTTATAGGTACAGTGCAGGAACTATTAGTTCATTATAAGAAAAAAACATGATTTTACTCTCTACTGATCTTATCACAGTCTTTGTTTAATAGTTACATACGAAACAATATATTTTTTCCAATCCTGCGCTCATACAACACTCGTTGTGTCTCCTGATACTTTTTACCACATTTAAAAAGTCATTTAAAATTCATTTTAGTTTTATTTTTTTAATACTTTGTTATGTTGTTGTTGCTGCTGCTCTTTATAATAACATATAAGCTGCTGTAACAAAATAATTTTGGGTAAAAAATATATATAGACATTTTGTAAATATTTTTCCAGTATGTGGAAAGAAGAAATGATCAAGAAGAAGCCGGGGAGATCTTTGTTCAGTTACCAATGCAAACAAGTGTTACACTTGTTATCACAAAATGTCCAATTATAGCAAGTGTAAATCACATAAAGGCTCCTGACCCCTTTGCCATGAGGCTGATTGAGCTGTGAACATTCAGGAACTTAAAGTGGAAGAATCAGTGCCACGTACAGCACCTCCCAGTGAATTATTCCCTCTCGTTATTACCCTGTTTATCCCACATTTAAAAACCCGCAACTGAACAAAGGCAGATAATATTTTTTTAAATTCTTTTGACTACTTGCCACGTTACATTTATTCCCAGAATATATCTGTTTGCTCGCTTGGCTGTGTTCCATCACTGTCAAGAGACCTCTCCATGTTTGTTCAGTGGATGACATTTTCAAAGAGAGTTTAAATCGCTAACCTACATTCCCTCTCTCCAAATGAGGTCAATAAATACTTCGGTGGTATTAGCTAGGTCTAAATTAAACATTATATTTAATATGTGCAAATTTATGTATGATTACATTTCAAGATGTCACCCTGTTCTGAGCCATTAGGTAGGAATGTAGTTTGTCAGCACAAACAGCAACAGTGTTGCTTCTCTATTACTCTCTATCCCTCCTTTCCTATGCGGCGGCATGACAACGTGTGCAGTTTTCTGATATTGTCTCGTGTTCACATTTACATTTGATCGTATTTGACATGTCGGCACCGTAGGATGAATGATGTGTTCCTGGCTCCCCGTATCTGATTTGTTACCCATTGGGTGCAGACACGGGCGACTGCAGCAGCACTCGTATCTCCCCTCCAGCTGCAACACCACCCTCTGGCCTTTTGCATAAACAGGATGATTCAGCACGCAAGGCTGTGACAACTGCCTCTTGTCATATGGTGGCTCCGGTCCTTTTTTTCTATTTAGAAGCTAGTTGGTGAAGTGAAGTGACCCACAATTTTCTACCCTAAAAAAATCAAAAACCCAGACCTCACAAGGTCACATGCGCATAGCAAAGCACACTGACATTTTAATACTTGACCTGGTTTTAGCTGCGCCGCTGTCATAGCTGTCACGCTGGCCCTTTAGGTCACCATTTGTGGAATTTCTAGGGACACAATCACATTTGGCTAAAAGCGAGCCTGTTGAGCATTGCGAGTCTGGGGCGATATTCTTCCGTTTAACAATTATATTAAGTTCTGTAATGGTTCGAGGACAATCCAGGTTACCGCAGTAATGCAATTCATTATCGTGGTATGATAGAAGAAGTTAGATAGAAGATAGAAGAAGAGAAGTGGTGCGCTCAGAGCACGTCCTCGCTTACACAGTGCACCTTACATTAAATGGAACCCCAATATTTGCCCTATTTAAAACTTTATACAAGTCACTTATTTAATGAATGGCAGCCTCCTAATTTTGGTTTTGCTCTCTGGGAGGGCATCTTAAAAGGTGGAAATTTCCGTGTCCTGACTCAGCCTGGGGATTGAATGTTTACCCTAACTTCGAGCCTGACTAATTTTGTTTTATCGCTTCTGCTCTACTGACGGGAAAATTCATTAATAGGGTATGCATCACAAAACCGGTGAATTGATTGAACGCTGGAAATGCGGCTATACATGTCAATTAGGATGCTTACATTGCTGCAGCTATCTCGTTTAAGCATTTAATGGTATGTTTCTATTTTGGGGATTTCCAATCGTGCAGTCTTTTGCATTACAGCTAAAACATACGCTCGGCAGAGAATGTAAAAATATTTTCCTGGCAGCTTGGAACAAGTAGTACAACTCTAAGCTATTTACTCATATAGTAGATGACTATA